GCGCGGCTGACCTCTGGTGGGCGGGGTCGCGGGTGAACCCGGGGCCGAACAGGTGGGCGGGGCTGACCGCTGGATCCCCGCAGGCTCTCACACCTACCAAGTGGCTTTTGGCTGTGAGGTGGGGTCGGACGGGCGCCTCCTCCGCGGGTTTGAACAGCACGCCTACGACGGCCGCGATTACATCGCCCTGAACGAGGACCTGACGACGTGGGCAGCGGCGGACATGGCGGCGCTGATCACCAAGCGGAAGTGGGAGCAGGATGGTTATGCAGAGAGACGGAAGGCCTACCTGGAGGACACGTGCAAGCAGTGGCTGCACAGATACCTGGAGAACGGGAAGGACGCGCTGTGGCGCACAGGTGCGGGGCCGCGGGCAACTCCTCCCTCTGCCCTCGGGCTGGGCTCAGTCCTCAGGAAGAGGAAACCCTCACTGGGGTCATGCCCCTGTCTCTGAGGGCAGACAGGGTCCCTGGGTCTCCTGATCCACCATGGCAGGGACCGCACTGACCTCCCAGGGCTCAGCCTTCTCCCTGGACAGTTCCACATCTGTCTCAGGAGGGAGGAGAGAGGATCCCGACATCACCAACAGTGGCTCCTTCAGTCTGCAGCCCCTGTCAGCCATGGCCTCTCCCAGGCCGGGTTCTCTGCCCACAGCCAGTGTCTGTGAACACTGAGTCCTGTCATCTGTGTGTGTCAGCCCTTACACACCAGGACCGGAGTCTCCTTCACCTGATGGGAGACATGGACGCCCCTACCCTAGGCTGCTTCCCCCAGTTTCTAGAACTTTCCAAAGAATAAATTCTCACAGATTCCTGTGTGTCAAGTTTGCATCCTTCCCACACCCCAATCCTATCTCTTCCTAGATACATTTATGGGGTGCCCTGGACAAATAGTAAATTGTGGGTATTTTTTTCTTTCTTTTATTTTCTTCTCTTCCTCTCTCTCTCTCTCTCTCTCTCTCTCTCTCTCTCTCTCTCTCTTCTTGTGGTCATTTTGCTTTAAGTTTTTCTTCCTCACTGGGATGGTATTCCTTCTCTCCCTCCCCTTGTGTTATAATGCATATCCATCTGCACAGGTGCCATGGGGACTGACACTCTGGATAATTAGACAGGTTATGTCAGTGTCCCCTTTTAATGAGAAAAATTCCTGGGAGCTTAGACTATTTTCTGCCAGAATTAACCATCCAGAGGCCCCATGCTCTCCTTCAGCCCCAACAAGTTAGAGTGTTGCCCTAGTGAATTAGGAACTGAACTTCCTCAGAGACAGGGTCTTCTGCAACTCCAGAACTGGAGTGACAGGGAAGATCCACACACCCTGTGAGCGCCACTGTGTCCCGGTTACAACTGGACTGGGCTCCACAGCACACTTCAGGGATCCTGGGTGACAACACCTGGTATCTTATCCCCCAGAGGCAGGACTTAGGGAGTCATTTTCTCTGGCTGAGTGTCAGAGGTTCACCACAATTGTTCCACACAGTTTCGTGATGGCTGTTCACTTGGATTCACAGTTAAACTGGTCAGCAAGATGGACACAGTGCTTGTTCCCCAATGGTGGCAGCAGGAGTTGGTGGTGCCCTTCATGTAGCCCGAGCATCTTAATTTCTTATTCCTGTAGGAGTTTAATCACATATATAAATCAATTATTTTGCATTCCTTCATCCTTATCCTACCTAACATATACTATAGAACATCACATAAGAAGACCATGTTGACCTGCTGGCTCAATGTATATTCCCTCTTAGTTTCTGGGATCCCCAGGAAACTGCATTTCTGTGATGAGGGGACCAGGCCTACCTACAGGTCACTAGTGTGATGACAGAAGTGTTCAAACAGTCACGTAGTTCAGTGTCATCATTGATTTAACTTTGTCTTTGCAGATTTCACTTTATCTTGTTAATTGTGGGATTTCTAAAATCTTCCACACAGACCCCCCAAAGGCACATGTGGCCCATCATCCTGGATCTAATGGTGATGTCACCCTGAGGTGCTGGGCCCGGGGCTTCTATCCTGCCGACATCGCCCTGAGCTGGCAGAGGGAGGAGGAGGAACAGACTCAGGACATGGAGCTGGTGGAGACCAGACCTTCTGGGGATGGAAGCTTCCAGAAGTGGGCAACTCTGGTGGTGCCTTCTGGGGAGGAACATAAATACACATGCCATGTGCACCATGAGGGGCTGCCTGAGCCCCTCACTCTGAGATGGGGTAAGGAAGGAGTGGGTGCAGAGCTGGGGTCAGGGAAAGCTGGAGACTTCTGCGGACCCTGAGCAGGGTCAGGGCTGAAAGCTGGGGTCATGACCTTCACCTTCCCTTCCTGTCCTTCCCTTCCCAGAGCCTCCTCAGTCCACAGTCTCCATCATGGCAGTCATTGCTGGTCTGGTTCTCCTTGGAGCTGTGATCATTGGAGCTGTGGTGGCTGTTGTGAGGAAGAGGAGGAGAAACACAGGTAGGAAAGGGCAGGGTCTGAGTTCTCTCTCAGCCCCTTTTAGAAGTGTGCTCTGCCTCATTAATGGGAAACACACCCACACCCCCCATTGCTGCTGTCTCTAACCTGGGTCTGCTGTCAGTTCTGGAATCTTCCTAGAGTAGGGGACTTCCCAGGTCTCTCACAGCTTTTCTTCTCACAGGTGGAAAAGGAGGAAACTATGTTCCAGCTTCAGGTAAGAGTGGTGGGCAGGATTGTCCCTGAAGCCTTTGGGTTGAAACCGAATTATTTGGGGAGCTCTGACAATCCATAATAGCTTCTGCAGGAAAATATTCTGGGGTACCTGTTTTTACCTTATATAATTTTACCCCAGGCAGGGACAGTTCCCAGAGCTCCGATGTGTCTCTCCCAGACTGTAAAGGTGACCCTCTGGGACCTGACTTGGGGAGGGACAGAGCAGACATGATTGGGTTTCAGGGACTCCCAGAATCACCTTTGAGTGAGTGGAGGGTTGTTGGAATGTTGTCTTCACAGTGATTGTTCATGACTCTTGTTCTGTAGCGTGAAGACAGCTGCCTGGTGTGTATGGAGTGACAGACGATGTGTTCAGGTCTCTCCTGTGACATCCAGAGCCCCTCAGTTCACTCTCAGCAATAGTGTCTGATGTTCCCTGTGATCCTATGGCTCAGTGTGAAGAACTGGGAGCACAGCCCACCCTGCACACCTGACCCTGTCCCTGCACTGCCCTGTTCCCTTCCACAGCCAACCTTCCTGTTCCTGCAGACAGGAGGGGACATCTCCATCCTGTCTCCTCCATGCTGTCCTGAGCTGCAGCCCTGACTTCTCCACTGAAAATAAGAATCTGAACGTGAACTTGATTGTTCATGTCCTTGATCTCAAAGGTTGATTGGCGGTAAAATAAAGGATGAAAATAGAGTTTATGGAGGAAATAAATGGCAGCTTGGAGAACCTCCCAGAATCTGTGTTCACTATGCTGTGTGCACAGGATGAGGCTGTGGGACCTGAGTGAGAACAGGGCTGTGCGTTGTTGGCATTGACAAGGTCACTGGTCAACTCTGTCACCTCCTGGCTCTGTTCTCTTTATCTCTTAGAACCACATGCTGACATCTGTGAAACGGACACTGAGATGGCCAGAGCCTCATCCTGTCCCTGGGATTATGAGCCGCCAGGGCTGCTGTGACAGTCAGGGCTGCTGTCCTGGCTGTGACTCTCTCCCCTCTCTTCAGTGTTGATTTCTTGTCTTTTTAGTTAGTATGGAGAACCAGGCCTGTTCTTGTTCCTGTGAGTGGTGTCTGCCTCATTATCCTGTGGGGTCCCTGAGAAACAGCATTAAGAGGTGTTTTCCGTCCTTGTCCCCTCAAAGCCCAACTAGGCCCCTACACTCAGGAGACTGTGGGATGAGAACATGAACTTCAGTCTCCTGAGCTCCTGCCTCCCTTCAGGCCCCTCCCTGGAGGTTCTCTCCTTCTTTCCCATCTATCAGAATCTAACCCGGGTTGTAGGATGGGCAGAGTGGAGGGATCCACAGAGTGTCATCTCAGACCTGTCAAGTGGTCTGCCCAAGGTCCCCTCTCCCTATCTGCCTCTGGGAATCCTGTGCTCCCTCCAGTGGAGACCCAATAATTTACAGGCTGAGTCTACTTAAGATATATGTTTATTAAAAGACATGATCCAGGGACTGGAGTGATGACTCAGGGCTTGAGAGCACTTGCTGCTCTTGCAGAGGACCCAGGTTCAGATCTCAGCACCCATCTGATGGCTCATAACCATCGTTAACTCCTGTTCCATGACATTCAACGTCCCTGTGGACACCATGCAGATACATGGTGCAAACACTGCTAGCAAAAAAAAAAAAAAAAAAAAAAAAAAAAAAAAAAAAACCCAATAA